GATCGTTCGTTCTCTGATTCAGGTCAAAATTACGATCTGTGGATGAATGAATGGATGTATGAATGGGTCCGCCTTATAAACGGGTGCGACGTATGGTGTGGCAGAATTCGAATTCTTGGCCATAGATGGCGCCACTGAAGAACAAGAAACGCACACTCGGCTTTAAATTTGCTCGGTTTCACCAAGCAGGCTTGCCCGTGTGGCAAGTGGCATTAGAAACAACAACATAATCATTTTCATAATAATAATAATACACAATTTATTCTTTAATAACAATTCATAACAGCTTGCTTCAGAAAACACTTGCGCTCGTAGTCTCTAAAAACATCAATAACGATTCAATAGATCAATAGCTTCAGTTTCGCTATATCGTTAAGGATTCAAATTCTATAAAATGGTAAATATTTAAAAGTTTTGTTACCCTTGTGTTTGAGTATCAAGTGAAATATATTTAAAATAAATAAACGTATCAGAAATAGTTAACCAAAATAAATTATTTTTATTTTTTGTTTTGTTTTAACTTAAGTGTCATTTCAATGAAGAAAAAAGTTTTTTTTTATAAAATAAAATAATTTTACGTTTAAAATTAATATCTTATTATGATAAAATAACCTGTTATTTATTAAATAATCTTATGCTTTGAACAATTTTGCAAAAGGTTATAATTATCAAATTTTAATAAATAATTTACTTTATATTTTTAATTTTTAGTCAGTTACTTAGAGTTACATTATATATTAATAATGAAACTGTTTGGATCTAAAGTCAAAGAGCAATGCCTTTTCAAAGCTGAATTCGTTTGTAACAAAAGGAAATACTCACTTGATTTAAGCATTTGTGTATTTTCACTATTACCGCCAATAATATGAATATATTGTTGATGGCCGGGCATTAATGCGTTGAAAAGAGAAAAGGTCAGTTAATTTAATTCACTGAAAAAATTTAGAACAAAAGTTTTCTACTTCAACCCACGAATCGTAGAGCCGTGCGTTTGCCTCCCTATGAGGTGATCAAGGTTTGAATCCCAGCAGTGGCTGGATGATGCGAATTCTGCTCCCGGCTCGCACCGACTACAATATTGACGTAAAATATCCTCAGTGGTAGACAGATCATGGGTTAGAATCTCCTTGCCGTAAGGCTAAACGTGGAAGATTTTCAGGATTTTCTTCTCCGTGTAACTCAAATGCGGATTAGTTCCATCAAAATATCTTTCACGGAGGCTAGTTTACCCCAAACTTGATCCAGGAGTTCCTTTGTCTTCTGGGTTGGGTTCAAAGTTACTGAAAAGTATTTTTTTCTCTCCTTAAAATATAAATTTTGTTAATTCATAAAGAAACTACACTAGGGCATTTGAAAGCCTTTATAACGGTAAAAAGAATTTCCTAAGAATCGTTTTTAAGCGAATTGTGTAACTAATTGCAGCCTACTATTTCACTTGGAAAAACCATTTGATTGAAAAAGAAAAGAAAACACATTAAGACTATTTTTGAAAACGCTTTCGTTTTATTAAATAATTTTTTTAGCGAATAAAATGCTGTTTTTATAACTGTTCGAGTATGTAACAGCTGTTTTCAACTGGTATATAAAATTTTGCCTATCTTTCAGCCAAAGCCTTCTAGGCCAGTGGTTCCCAATCAATCTTGACCAATCTCCCTCCTTTTAGTATTGCTAGAAGCTCTCCTGATTCAGATTTCTAATTTTTTTTTCTTACTGGCATTTGAAAGTTAACAACACAGCACTAAAAATTATGTTAAAAACATTTTTTTATGTTCACAAACTAATTATTTCCTCAAAATAAATTTATGCCTGAACTAATAAGTAAAATAGCAATCCAGCCTCAATAATAAAAGCTTTTAGCGTCAATAATAATAATGTTTTCAACTGAGAGGAGAAGAGATTTGCTTGTTTGAGATGCTCAGTTTTTTCTAAAATAACTATTTCTTTCTAATTTAACTTTCGACTCTAAAATAAATATCATTGACAGGATCATCTTTAGTGCATTCTGATTGCAACATGAGGTTGTAGATTTCTTTCAGAGATCGTCAAGAAGAGCTCTCTAAATAAGAGCCTAGCTCAAATATTTTGAATACATTTTAATCTATATATATATATAGGAGCGTAAATATC